AACTGTCATGGAAAATGGAAGCTTCGAGTTTTGCTTAGCACTGCTGAAGCTCCTTCCATTAAAATGATTCCTAGGGAGACAGAATAACCTTAGGAGAGGTATTATTTTTGATTAGAAAAGTCTCAACCCAGCTGTGCTGTGAAGCTGACTCCACAACAGCCTGGCGGAAAAGGCTGGCTGGCTTGTTTTTGGGGAGGCAGGCCCCCCATTTACTGTCCAGTCAGAATGAACTAGGGGAGGCCAAGTTCACCCAAAGGGGGAGACCAGGAGCCCATTGTGAGTCGTGAGTGGTGTCAGAAAGCCCTTCACGTCCCTGCTCTGGGTCACCTCCTTGGCCCCAGTCCCTCCCGTTCTTCTCTGTGCACCTGTCCTGCCATGGTCACCATCAGAGTAGAGGGAAGGCTACCCCCTTTGTACACATTCATCCCAAGCTGCATTTCATCCACAAGCCGAGGATTTTTTGTCTCTTTCTTTTTCTTTTTTTCTAAAGTAGTCTCCATGCCCAGCACAGAGCCCATTGGGGGGCCTGAACTCACGACTGTGAGATCAAGACTTGAGCTGAGATCAAGAGTCAAACGCCCAGCCGACGGAGCCATCCCCATCTCCCCTGTCTCTCTTTTTCTAACACCGTAACCACAGTGCTAGGACCCCATGGTTTTCATGAGTTTCTAGGCTGAAAATCCCCAAACGACCCCCTCAAAAGGCAAATCCTCTTTGTCTACAGACTTCCACGATGAAGTCAAAGATACGTTCCTAATGCAAACAAAATTCCTAACAGAATCAAAAACTTAAAGAATTTCCTCAAGAAAGAGCAGTGTCTGGCTGGCGTCTTGCTCAGCTTTCTCTCCGCTTCCTGACCCCTGTCGTGGGATACTTTGATTTTGTACTCTGAGAGCATAAAACTTGTCTGAGCGCCGTCTCTCCCTCCCCTTTGGACATTTGCAGTGTCTCACAGAAGCTACTTGGAGATAATGAGCTGCCAGCAGGTGCACAATCTGTCATGCCCAGATAGGCCCAGCTCACTAGCCAATGACCCAGGCACTCACATCCCTGCCCTCCTTCAGCCAGCCCCCGGCACAGCGGCTGAGAAAAATAACCCAGATCTTCGAGAGCACCCTTGGTTCTGAAGTGGACGGAGGCTGACAAGTTGGGAACCGTTTACAGACTCTGACTGTCCGGAGCTTGCTTGATGCTGGATCTGGCTACCTGTTCTGACTTGAACTTACAAAGGCAAATCCCACCTGCAGAGCTGGAAGTCTCCTAGGAAGACACTCCCTTGGGTGAACAAGCCTTTTGTCTCTGAAATGTGTATAGCCGAGAGTGGCCTCTTTCTCTCCGTGTGAGTAAAGATGAGGTTGGATAGCATCAGTCAAGGTCACTATCTAGCCCTAGGACCACCTTCGCAGAGCCCCCCAAGTGGCTTGTTCATCAGACTTCCGGGCCCTACCCTAATTATTGCAATTAGACTCTCTAGAGAGTGAGGCCTGGGAAGTCCCCAGTTTAGCCATTTTCCCAGATGAGTCTGGTGTGATTGGAGAAACCGTGATCTCAGTTAAGGCTGTTCATCCCGTGTGTTTGTTTATACCTGGGCAGAATTAGTTCAATCTGTCTGTTTTCTTCTAATCCTCTCACTGGTCTGCTGGATGGAGGGAATGGGAATTTGGGTTGGGGAAGGAAGAACTGGAACATGTTGGGGGTCAGAGCTGTACTGGGCTGAGGGCTGAGGGTCTGCAGTTGGTAGAGAGACTTTTCCTCTCTTTCCTTTGGTCCCAGAATGTCCCCACCCCTCTCTTTTGGGATAACACTGTAACTTGGTGGGATTCAGGTGGGACTGGCTTTTGCGATCTGAACGGGGACTGCACTGTCCCTGGGTGAGCAGGGGTCTTCAGGGATAGCAGTCTCTTAGCTCCTAATAGCTGACTTTCGAAGGGGCCTCTGGAACAGCCTTTAGGATCCCCAGCTGCCCTTCAACATGACAGGTGTGGGCTTGAAGGGAGGATACCTGCCATGTGCTCTAGCCCAAGTTTCCCTCTGGAGGACTGAGTCTTCTGACTCTGTGGAAACAGACAGGGCACCCATCTTACCCTACAGGCTCAAAATTCCACAGGAGAGAGGCCCCCTTCCCCCATAGGAAGGCCAGAGGGAAAATCCCAAGCTCAGCAGGGCAGCCTGGAGATGGGTTGCTCTGAAGCAAACGTTCTCCTGAGGGGGTTGGTCATTCGATTTTATCATCAGTGTAGGTGGCATGCAGAATAGTTTGAGTCCCCTAGAGCACACATCTCATTTACCCTAACATTGCTTTCTGCTGATCAAAGATCTCTTAGGGGGACCTGCTCTAGGGAGCAGTCAAAAGGTAAAAGATGACATTTACAAAAATCCATTCTTTCCTCCACACCTCACTGCTCTGTTGACTGTTTCCCTGTTCAATCACACCGTCTTGCTGCCGCACGTCCCATTTTAGGAACTGCCAAGGCCATAAATATCCCATCCTTTCTCTACCGTACTTGCTGCCCCCACACCTTTTCCTTCCTTCCCCATCGGGGCACCTGGGTCCTCTTTGGTTGGGTCCCTTCTGTCTAGAAGGTCTCCATGTGGTTCCCAGGACTTGGGACAAGCCAACTGTATTGCCCTTGTCTTCTGCTTTCCTCTTTCCCCCTGGCTTTTGCTTTTTTTTTTTTTTTTTAAATACTTTATTTATTTATCTGACAGAGAGAGACAGCGAGAGAGGGAACACAAGCAGGGGTGGGTGGGAGAAGAAGAAGCAGGGTTTCTGTTGAGCAGGGAGGCTGATGCAGGGCTGGATCCCAGGACCTTGGGATCATGACCTGAGCTGAAGCCAGATACTTAACAACTGATACTTAACTGATATGTAAGGCAGATTCTTTTTTTTTTTTTTTTAAAGATTTTATTTATTTTTTTTTGACAGAGAACACAAGCAGGAGGAGCAGCAGGCAGAGGGAGAGAGAGAAGTAGGCTCCCTGCTGAGCAGGGAGCACAATGTGGGGCTTGATCCCAGGATCCTGGGATCATGACCTGAGCCGAAGGCAGCCGCTTAACTGACTGAGCCACCCAGCCACCCCTATAAGGCAGATTCTTAACTGAGCCACCCAGGTGCCTCCCCCCATGGCTTTTCCTGATCCCAAAGCTTCACTGTATAGGTTAGCTGTATCTACCTGAGAATTATGGCCAGGTCAGCCCTGCCCTTAAATCGTGACCCTTTTCATTTTCTCCTGTGTCCTGACACTGATGCTCTGAGCAGCTGGGCCTGTAGGGCAGGCTCCCTGGGAGGAGCAGGGAGAGAGATCGCACAGAACACCCAGGCCAAGAGAGATGGAGCCCAAGTTCACATGGTCAGATTCCCAGTCCAACGTTGACCCTACCGCCTTGAACCTGGCTTTGTTTCTCCTGTTGCTTCTGTCATTCACATTCCTGAAGAATTTAGTGAGCTGGGAATTGCTCAGGAAACCTGTGTGGCTGGGCTCAGCCATTTACATCTGTTAAGAAACAAATCCTAGGCCCCTCAGGGCTCCTGGGGCCCCAGGTCAGGAGTGCTAGCACTGCAGGTCCCAGCTGAGTCACGTGCCTGGAGATGTGACGGTCCTTCCCTCAAGATTCTGCATGGGACCTTGAAGAAGGCAGGGAGGAGTTCTGAGCCTGGGCAGGCAGGAGAACGACCTAGGCTGGAAATACCGTGCTAGCCCTTACATAACCCCTTATTTATTCCTAAGGGCATTTATGAACAAGGCAGGGAGTCATTTCCATTTTACAGGTGAGGACAGAGAGGCACAATAAATCAACTGACCTGGCATAAAGTCATCAGCCAATAAACACCTGTGTCAGGATGGAAGCTCAGGTCTGCCTGACTCTGCTTCTAGACCACTACTCAGTGCCACTGATGGTCCTCCAGGACACCACGTGGCATCCCCCACACCTGGGAGGAGCCCTGGGTCTGCATCATGGGTACTCTAGTACCATCTCCATGTGGGAGGCTATGGCACCTGTCTTGCTCAGTGTGCGGCAGCTACTTCTGGACCCTAAGGTCCGTTGGCTTGACAGTGCCTTGCTTCGGGCTTGTGCACGTGCCTCTTGCCTCCCTGCCCAAGCCTTCCCCTCTGCTGCTGAACCACGTGACGCTGCCGGACTTGCTCAGTGCCCACGCCCTGGAGCCGGCTTGCCTAGCTGGGCATACAGAGCTGCTGAGCTGCACACACTCGCATGCCTCCCTCTCATGCTATGTGGCTCTGGCTTCCCCAGGGCTGCCCTGGAGGGGTAGGGGAGTTCATGTCTTCTGGAGCGAGTCTGATTAATGGAAGACAGCAGATGGGAAGGCTCTGGCTGATAAACTGTCTATTTCTCATTCTGATGGGCTATTTGGAGATGCGGTGTTTCTGTATAATCTCCCCAGAGAGTGTGTCATGACCAAGTTGTGCATTCTGATAGATGGCGGCTGGGTCAGCACCCTTATCCGCTCGCCCTCCTCCTCCACTTCACTTTCCTTTCTCCTTCAGTCTTACTGCATTTGGATTGCAGCTGCCTTTCTCCAGTAAAGTGTTGGTGTGTGACAGTTGCTTAGGGCTCTGTTTTCTAGGTAGCATAGGTGAATGCAGTGATAATAGTAATAATAATTCCTTTCGTGTATTGAAAGCATACCGTGTGGCCGCTGTATCATCTCTCTGCATCTTCATACTATCCCCATTAAGCAGGTATTATTTTTATCCCTATTTTAAAGATAAGGAAATGAAAGCTCAGAGAAGTTAAGGAACTTGCTCATGGCTGCACAGCATCTAAGTGGCAAAAGAATTGAAGATCTAATACAGCTTAAAAATTGGATTCTTTCACGTCCAGAACCTGAACTCTCAGCCACCCTTAAAGAAAGTTGCCTGAACTTGTAGAAATACCAAGGAAACATGAGTCTCTGTAAGGAGCCACCTGCCAGAGACTCCGAAGGATTTCCGGGGAGCCCAGGGAGACCCTCTGAGGAGAGCCCTGGGGGTACTCACGTTGTAAAGGCTGGGTTGTACTTCGCACCTCGGTAGTAGGAGTAGAGATTGAACATCCCAATCATGAAGGCCACAAATACCATGATGAAAATGACCATGAACTTGAAGATATCTTTCACGGTCCTCCCCAGGGAGATCTGCAGGGGTCCAAAACTTTCGTTGGCTGGCAAGATGTACGCGATTCGAGAGAAGCTGAGCACGACAGCAATCGCATACAGCCCTTCTGATATGATCTGAGGGTCTGAAGGCCACCACTTGTCCCTGGCTGAAAGAAAACAAGCTGGGTTACTCACCAGGGCGACAGGGTCTGCTGTGCTGACTTGTCTCTGGCAGAGAAAGCAGTTAGGCATCTTTAGAGGTGTCTGACCTCATCGTGGCCTTTCCTGCCCTTGTCTCTAAGTTGATCCCAATACACTGGGATCACCCTCCCTCTGGGAATGTGTTGGCCCGTCTGCTGGGAACCCCCTTCCCTCACTTCAAGGCCACTTCATTCCCACTCATGCTTTAAGACTTGGGTCAGGTGTCAGCTCTCTTAGGAAGCCTTCTGTGACTCCCACAACCAGGGACAGGCTCCCCATTCCTCTCTTTGCTCCTGCAGTATCCTGTGTGCACCCTTTATCATGGAACTTTCCATGCTGCTCACCATTCTGTCCTTCTTGCCCATGTTTGGGCTCCACTAGCAGAGGCTGCCCCAGCCACTGGGGAAGCATCACGGGGAAGCGGTGGGGAGGAGCATGGACTCAGAGTCGGACAGACCCGGGCTTGACAGTGGCCTTTTTACTCAGAGGCCGTATGATCACGACCAAGTCAATTAACCTTTTAGAACCGGATTTTCTCCATTTGTAAACTGGGGATAATATCATCAATCTCACAGAGCTGTTGTGAGGATGAAATACGACCCTGTACGTAAGGTGCTTAGCATAGGCTCTGGCACACCGCAGGTGTTGCTAAATGTTTGTTACATGCCTGACTGAAATACCACAGGTTTGGATGGGCCACAAATCAGAACACATGAGCCCACACGGGGCCAGGAATCTGAAGGGTCTTCCCTCAGAAAATGCTCTAGGGTTTTGTTTCTTGGGCAGCGTGTGTCTGGAAGTGTTGCTCTGGGTTTGAGCGAAGGTCTCTAATATGGTGACCGGTCATCCAGGTTTGCCATGACAGCTCTGTTCCAGATGGCAAGAGTCTTGGGACCTGTCTTGGGCTGTGGAGTTTCTGCTTGTGACCTCGGGGAAGGGTCTGATCTGCCTGGAGTGTATTTCTGCGGCAGAACAAAGCTGTGGAGTAAGTGTTCCTATGGCACCAGGAATGGCATCCATCACTAGTAAGGCTCCTGCTACGTGTCAGGACACACAGGGGTTCTCTGGTGAGGGCACCATCTTTATTCTTGGGGACTGTATGTGGGTATCTGCTGTTGTCACAGTGCCGGGGCAGGAATATTACTGAGATGCTAATAACCTGCAATGCTCCGGACAGACGCATACCATGAAAACTGCTCTGCTGAAAAAGCCAAGAGTCTCCCTGTTGAGAAATGCTAAGTGAAACTTAAATTGAGAAACATCAAGAAACTGAAATTAGCCCTTACACGTACATTAGCTGTAATTCTAGCGACAGTCCTGTAGAGTAGATCTTATTATTGCCATTTTCAAGATTGGATTAGGGGTATGGGGTCCTTTTCAAAGCCAGGCAAATGCAGATAGCAAGGAGATGACATAGCAATTCTTGGCACCCCTAGGGAGATGGAGGAGGGATTTTATCCCTTATCTTCAAGACTAGACTGTGTTAAACAATTATAATAATAAAGAGCAGCAAGAAACCTTTAGTAAGGGAAGCCAGGCCTCTCTTTGCTACAAGGTTTCATGTAGTGTATTCTAAATTACATTTGGAAATACAATAAAATTATAGACTCTATGTTCTCATCAAGATCATAACTCAGAAGTCCAGGAAAGACAAGTAAGGAGAACAAATTACGTTTTTCCAATATATCTGTCACCCTCCAAGGATAAATAACACATTTGGGTAATATGAAATAAGAATTGGCTTCGGCAAAGAGACACCAAAAAGGAATTTCTTTTTTTTCCCCTCCTATAACTTACCATGTTAAACCTCAGCTGTCATAATAAAGCCACTTCTATTATCTAGTAAGATAGATTAGCTGTTCTTGGACCCTGGTGGCCAGGCCAGGACTTCTAGTGAAAAAGTGTTCTACTTGGACTGGTTTTTCAGAGTTACGATGGGTGTAAAAACAAAGAGCAGTGTGATGATTCAGACGAAGGGATTTTCTTCTTTTTGGCGCTCTTTCCATGAGAAATATTGCCCTATCCCAACCTGGAAAACTGGAATCTGCCTAGGAGCTGAGGTTGGAAGGCACCACGGCCTGGATGGCCACGAGGGGGCGCTCTTGTCCCGCAACTGCAACACAAGCCACCGCTCTGAGCCAAAAGATCTCCAAGGGCACAGGGTGAACCTCAAAGCAAGGGCAACAATGTGCAGTACTTTGCAGTTGGCGAGACTTTAACACAATCCTTAATAGGAACGGAAGTCACAAGTGGACAATACTGCAGGCTGAATCAGGGCATTAAGAAAATTATTCAATTTAGTATCAAGATTCTCTCATCTCCTCATTGATGAACCCTGAACGGCTCAGAGAGGAAAATACACAAATCCATTTGGCCTTTAACAAATCTGAATTTGCTAAACCAACGAAAAAAGAGTGAATGGTTTGTAATACTAGAAGATTCCTCGTTTCTCAGGAGCTGTGCCCTTACCACATTTACATGTACATGATCTGTATAGAATACGGATAGCACTCAACTGCTGTGTTAGATGGCCAGCCCCCGGCAGCTCACGGCTTCACCTGACCATGAACATTCTGACGTCACAGGAGCCATGTGACTCCTGGAGCCATCTAACAGGGACTTTTGACACTCAAACCCTTCATGATGGAGCAGCGGTTGTTAATAAATGCCTAGTAAGTGTCCAGCTAGTCTACTGGTAATGATAAAAGAGATCTGTATTCTTCTTCCCACTTCTCTTTCCCTTTTAGAACAGAAAGTACAATGCTAGAGCAGGAAAATGAACCAATAGGCAGTATTGATAATAAATGTTACCATTTAGTGAACACTTAATATTTTCAGAGCATGGTGCAAAATTCATATGCACTATCTTATTTAATCTGTAAAAGAAACTTTTTACTTGGGTATTATCCTGGTTTTATGTGTGAGAAAATAAAGGCTCCAAAAAGTTAGGTAAACTCAGAGTAAGCTATAGAAGTAGGATTTGAATCCAGGTGTGACTCCAAAGCCTGGGGACATAAGCACTGTGCCATTCTGCATGGTTTTCAATTCATGTTGGGCCAAGATCCCTTGCTACCCAAGGCATTCCTATATTTCTGAGAACATTGCGAGCCCTGCCATGGAAACCCATTCATAATCTGTAAAATAGGGACAGAAAAGACCCCTTTTTGTGGGCCTTTTGTAGGGACTGGAGTTTATGGTATATGTCTATACAGTTCCTGGCATCTAGTAAGTCCTTAATAAATGGATGCTACAACTCTTACTCTTCCTAAAATTTCAATCTACTACCTCATACTGTATGGTCTTGTGGTTTGAAAGAATTAATGTATCTCCAAAAAACTACTTTGGCCATGAGAAAAGAATTTTTGAATGGGGGAATCAGGGCCCATCTTTGCACAAAATGCAGGGATCCAGTATAGAAGGACATTTCTTTCATCTCTACATTTCCTCTTAGTGCTCCTGGATTCACATCAGAAATGAGATCTTTGGGGATGCCTGGGTGGCTCAGTCAATTAAACATCTGCCTTCGGCTCAGGTCATGATCCCAGGGTCCTGGGATCGAGTCCCACATCAGGCTCCTTGCTCAGCGGGGAGCCTACTTTACCCTCTGCCTGCCATTCCCCCTGCTTGTGCCCTCTCTCTCTCTTATAAATAAATAAAATCTATTAGAAAAAGAGATCTTTATTTAAAAAACAAAAAACCTCCCAGAAACGTTCCAAGAACCTTTCCAAAACAAATCCATCCTTCTTAACACATACAAAAAATTCATTTCTTAGAGTCCTTAATTCCACGCTTTAGGAAGCTGTCTGTGTTGCCCAGAGCAGGACCGCTTTGGAAAGGGATCTGCAGGTGGAGTGGTGCTACCGCCCGTGGCCACGCCCCAGGAGGGCGGGGTGGGGCGGGGCGGGGCGGGACGCGACGCGGTGGAGCAGCGCCCTTCGACTCACCATAAGTGAAGTAGGCAACTTCCGGCGGAAGTGAGACATTGTGCAGCGTGTCGTCCTGCACGTGCTGGTCCACATACAGCTGGGCCTCGCTGGCCTTCAGGAAGGCCATGAACCTGGCGGTGAAGGATGCCACGAAGATGGACAGCATCCCGAAATCCAGCAGGTTCCACAGGTGCAGCACGTACTCGCGTGGCCCCTCCTCCCAGATTTCCTTGCATTCGGACCAAATCATTCCTGCGGGAGAGTGAGAAGCTCAGGTTCATTTTCCAGTTCCCTGGGCGTTTGTGACCACAGTGCGGCAGGGAGGGAACCAGAGTACGAATGTGTGGGAGCTCCTGAGAACTGAGAACGCTCGTAGCCAGCTGCAAACGGAAACGTGTCTTCTTCAAAGGCAGATTTAACAACAGGCAGTTCTCAGGCCGCCTGAAGGCGTGTCACCTGCCCTCTGCTTACGGGTAAACCATCTCCAGAGGTGAGGAGAGAGTTCTCATCCTCTCTTAGGTTCTTGGAGGTAATACAGGAGAAACAGAGGGTCCCGTATTTGTGCATTTTAAGAATTGAGAGGGCTTTAAGGACTCCTCCCGTTCTAAGTAAAATGCAAGGAAACTGAGGTCCGGGGGGAAAGGGCTTTCTGCAGGTCCCACTGAAGACCTGGAACCCCCTTCTCCTAACTCCCACATTGGAACACTTTATATGTTTCTGTGATTGTTTCCGTGAGCATTCATTTTGAGTTGTTTCTTTACTTTTTAAAGTAACTTCCTGGATTTTAGATACCTACAGTCTTAATTGCTACTTATTGAATAATGTAGAGGCATGTAAACAAAATGTTGCTAGTTGCCCCACCCCACCTCTAAGCCAGCCGTGGGAGGTGACCTAGAGTAACAGTTGGGTATGTATCCATCTGTACCTGCAATGTCAGTTTGGTGGCCATTAGTCACATGTGGATATGGAGCCCTTGAAATGTGGCCATTTGAATGAGAGGCGCTGTGTAAGTGTAACATACCAAATACTAGGTATCAAGGACTTAAAAAAAGTAAAATATCTCAGTTTTTTAAATATCAATCACATGTTGAAGTGACAATATTTTAGATAAATTGGGTTAAATAAAATAGTAATTTCACCATTTTTATTGTAAGGCTGCTAGAAAGTTAGATATGTGGCTTATGTATGATTTGCACTATATTGCTATTCTCTATCTTAATTATTAAAAATGAAATGATTTAGGTTATTAAAACTTAATAACTCTATAGCATTTTGAGCCCTTCCTATGTGCTAGGCACTCTTTGGCATATGTATGTATTAACTCAGCTGAATCTTGGCAGCAAACACAGGAAGTACATCTATTATCTCAGTTTTACAGCTACTGTTTCATTAGGTACAGAGAGCTGGACTGTGCTCAGGCAGGAGTTAGATCTGGAGTTTGAATCTGGAAGGTCTGCCCCTGAAGTCTGTACTCTTGACCACTCTATTATTCTGCCTCTTCAGGAAATACAATTGGATTCAAAGCCAGTGATGTGTAGAAAAACCTGAATATTTTGTAAACGATAGTAAGCAGTTTCTATAGCTACTCAAACCTGGGAAAGTTCTGATGCAGACCCAGCCATGCTGTGCACTACACTTAGCCTGCATACTTAGGAAGTTAATGTAGTAAGAGGTTGGCTAAGTGACTACTCACTCCCCAGAGGTTAACACTGCCTGCCTCTTTTGGCACTTCCTTGGCTCCTGTGCATCAGACATGAGGGCTTGCCTTCCCCCATCCTCTACCTCCCTCACTGGCCCTCCTCATCCTCCTTTGTTACTCATCATCCTCCACCCTCCACCCCTCCACCCCATCCCTTAAAGGCTGTTGCTTTCCAAGGCTTTGACCATTCTTGTTTTCCCTTCTGTCCTTGAGTAAGGGTGTCTACTGTTGCATCTTTGTCCTTCATTTCCTTTCAGATGTCCTGCAGAGAAATAAATTCTGATTTTTCTTAAGTGCTTGGAAACTAAATTTCCACTATACAGAGAGACTGTTCTAAGAGGATGTCCTGCCAGTGCCAGAAATACAGTATACCCTAAGTTGGCCTCCCCATCCCTCCCTAACTCTTAGTCCCCCCGTGGCCCACTACCCTCTGTCTTGTAGTCCTGACTCCTCAGACTGTCCCCAGTGGATCACTGCAATTCTGCAGATCCTCCTCTGGTGGGCTCCCAGATCCATCCTGCCCTCTCAGTTTTCACTTCTTTCTCCTTACTCCTCAAGCACAGGTTGGATCATGGTCACGTCCCCCTGCAGTATACTCCTCAACCCTAAGATAAAGTCCAGACTGCAGAGCTGGGCTGTCACACCTTCCTGTGATCTCTGTCTGTGTCCGTATGTCCTGGAGTTCAGCAGAGCAGCTCTCCCCAACAGTCCCCCAACAGTTCCACCCCAGCCATTTGCTGGTGCTCTTCCAGACCTCAAACACAAGCACACTGGCAACTGACCACATTATAATTCAGTGGCCTTTGAGGACTTCGCTGCCTACAAAGCCTGGAGTCGAGGATGATACTAGGAGCAGACAAATGGTCATGGGCAGAGAAGCATGGCTGACTTGGTCACAGGCCCCCATCTGGCCACACTGGATTGTGTCTCCTCTGCCCTGGGACAGTTTGAATCAGAGTTTTCCCTTTTTTTGGTGAAAGTGGTTTGTTACATAGGAGGAATTGAAACGAAATGTGTCTCTAAAGGGGAAAAGTAATTTGAGAGCGTCTGTTTAGAGGGGTTGTGGCTTTGTTTTTTTGAAATAGCTTCTAAGATCTGCATGTCTGTATCACATCAGAGGCTGTGCAGTAGGAAATATCCCAAAACATTGCAGGTTTGTTTACAAGACACCCCCAGTACCCACCTTGCCTTTTTTCTTTTTCCTTTGCAAAACACCCTTCTCAAGCTTACCATTTCAAAATTTGTATGGTAATTCAGTGAAGTAATAATTTTCTTAACACTGAAATTACTTTCAATTGTGCCAGTTCGAATAGATATTTTAGGAATGTTTTTAGGAAAACCATTATGGGCTGGAAGAAGTAATGTTTATTGCTCTTGGCTACCCTCAGATTAAAATTCCTGATGTCTCAGTGGAAGTGCTTTTAGCTGGGTACTAGCACAGCTGCAGGCTATCACTTAGGGCTGTCACTGGCCTGAATTCAGAAAGCCCTGGGTTCAGGTTCTAGCTTTGGCCACTTCCTGGGTATGTGACTTTAAAAAAGTCCCTTGATTTTCTTGGAGTTTTGGGGTAATTTCAAGCACCAAAATCTCTGTGAATCTGAAATGCAAATTGTTTATAGAAAACTGACTTTTTTGACCAGGGTAAGTAGCTCCTCATTGGGTATTGCAAATCATTTCCTCCATAGTCAAATGCCCTTGTCAGTTTTAGTAGATTTAAATATTAACTCAACCAAGCTAATTTAAATTATTCTAGGGCCATGAGTAGAAGTAGCACGGGCCCAAGGGTTTGAACAGCAGGAATGCTTAATGAAAAAAGAAAAGCGAAATTAAGTACTTTAGTGAGTGAAATTAGGCCCCTTGCTTCCAGCGGGGTGAGGATGGTTCAGCCTTTTCTATCCATGCTGAATATGATGGTCTCTTGCCTCCAGCTTGTCAGTCAGAGGAGTGTTTAGAGCCCAGGGACTCAGGTGTAAGGATGCTGGGCACTGGAGCCTCTTTCAGGCAAAATCCCCTTCACTCTGGGATGCCCCCCCCCCCCCCCCCCCGGAGTCCAGAGGACAAGGTCACTGATAATTAATGAGGGTGGCTGACAGTGAAATGGGCTGGGAAGCCTTGGGGGAAAGGAGTAGCTTCTTTTGGGCGGGTTCTGCATAAGGGCTGCTGAGATGGAGTTTGTCAGCTCAAAAGGTGGTTCCCGCCCATCCCAGCTTCAGATGCTATTCTGCAGGGATCCCCCTTCAGAATCCTGTGAGCCTTAAATATGCACATTCCTTAAGTGGTCCTGACCCCAGGGCATCCTCTGCTCTGTCCCCCGGTCCTCAGCAGAGCAGACTTCAGAGACCACCTCCTGGGAGGCCTGTGGGTCCTTTCAGGTCAGCCTCTCATTATTGGGCCAAAAGGAGGTGTTCTGTGAACTTACAGGAGGGAGAATATGCCCTCAAGCTGTGACATCCAAATATTGTCTCAGTGGCAGGTCCTTTGTGACAAATCTGGGCCTCATACATATTTGGGATTCAGTTGTTTTCCAGGCAGGAAAATGATATTAATAGATTAAAGCATTTCTGAACAAAACTCTCCCTCTTTCTCTTCTTTCATTTTAGTACTTAGCAAGTGCTACACACCTGCTAGGTGCCAGGCACTGTGCTGAGCACTTGAGCAACAGCAAACCTTTCTCATAGTCTGATAGCTGGTTAAACTGTAATCATCTCCACCTTATAAGTGGAAAAGCTTGTGTACCAAGATGGCAAGTACGTTGTTCAAAGGCACACAGGCACTGCAGGGCCCTTGCTCTCCGCTGGGCTGTCACCTACCATGCCCTCTGCTGGGCACAAGCGTACTCTTCCTGGTTGGGAAATCATCCACCCACTTAATAGACACTGTTGAGTGCTGACCCAGAGCCAGCCACCGTTCTGGGGACACCACGACCAAGATGAAGCAAGCTCAGTCTATCTCTGAAGACAGATGCATCACAAGCCATCATGAATGTTTCTGGGTGACAGATGCTGTAATGAAAATGGGGTTTCATTTTCATGGGGATTGTTTGTGGAGATGCAGCGATCAGAGCAGTCAGTGTTATAATCATGAGAGTCAGCAGAGTTCCTGGAACAACTTGTATTTGTTCACTGACAGAGTGAATTCACGGAGGAGGGGACACTTGGTGTGAGGAAGCAGGAGCTAGCCAGGTGACGGAGGGGCTGGCCAAGTGTTCCAGATAGTGGCTGCGGAAGTGTGGGAGGATGGGCTCTTTCAGGGGACTTGAAGAGGCTGAGTGTGGCTCAAGATTCAGGGCGTGGGCCTGGAGATTGGTAGCAGGGAAGGTTAGTGAAGGCCCAGTAGACCCTCAGTAGCTTTCCTACAGGCCATGATGGGGAGACTGGGCTTCACTCGGAGCGGCTGGACAGTCCCTAAAGGTGATAAGCAGAGCAGATGCCTGGTCTCACTTGTAGGGAGAAACTTTGGAAAGTTGACTGGAATCGTCTGCTTGAAAATGGATCTGACTAAGTGAGGAAATAATCAAAAGAATGAATTAGGTGAGGAACCCAGCCCATAGGCT